TTTTTTTTGTCAGAAAGATGGGGAATTATTTTCTCATCAGGTTTTCTCTGTTCCTTAAATACTCTGAAGCCCCATTTCGAGCAAAAGGAAACCAGAAACAGGGGAGAGCTGCAGCTGTGTGTCTCATCCTGTAACTCCCAGGGGAGCTTCATGGGTCACCACCTCCTTCTCCACACAGACACCATTACCTAAGCTGTAGGGCTTGGTATACTTCTTTGGCACTTTTATGTTAGCTGGTTTATAAGGAAAAATGTATTTAGCCCATCAACTGTAGGGTCTAAGCTTGAACATGTACTGAGATGCGGACCATCTGCCAACCTGACTGTTCAACCCAGCTCCAGACACGAGCTCTATTCTATGCTTCTGTGTAAATAAGGCACATTTTTGGTCACAAAGCTTTGTAAAACATGTTTTTAAGAGGTATGTATTGTGAATATGCTGCTTCATGTCTGGGTTTTAAAGAAGAGCTTAGCTCCTGTGTCTGCTCTGTAAGTAAAGTATTCTGACCTGTATGGCTCTCAAAAGGCACCTTTGGCAGGCTCTTAAACTTTCCTAACTTAAAAGGAACATGTGCTATAGTAACCTTGCAATAGATGTACAGAAAGGCACTGGGTGGCTGTGGCCCCTGGCACGCTGCTCTTCTTGCGAGAAGAGTAAGAGGAGCCTGAATGAATGACAACAAAGCAGATGAAAGCAGATGAAAGTCTCAGTTTCAGCTGTGACAAGCCCACAGTCATTAACTGGCTGGTCTGCCCAGCTTGTTTATTATTAATTCTGAGTGCCATCCAAGCAGCAGAAGCACCTGTGATGGGGTATCAGCCATCAGAGGTCCCCTTCTAGCAAAGCCCTGCCCATCACAAGCTGGGCAGGCCACCAGCACTGCTGTCAGGGTGACAAGCCTTTGGATAGCAGCTCGGCTTCCCGTCAGGGCTCGCTGGAAGAATGTGGTTGGAAATAGGAAGGGAAACACATGTTAAGTATCTCTTTCCTTCCATGCCCTTTCCTCCTGGCAGTTGGCCTACAGCTTTGTGATTCATAGAGTCATAGAATGGTTAGAGTTGGAAAGAACCTTAAGGTCATCAAGTTCCAACCCCCTTGCCACGGGCAGGGGTGCCTCACTCTAGACCACGTCACCCAAGACTCCATCCAACCTGGCCTTGAACACCGCCAGGGATGGAGCATTCACCACTTCTCTGTGCAACCTGTTCCAGTGCCTCACCACCCTCACAGTAAAGAACTTCTTCCTTATATCTTACCTGGACTTCCCCTGTTTAAGTTTGAACCCATTACACCTTGTCCTATCGCTACAGTCTCTGACGAAGAGTCCCTTGTAGGGTCCCTTCAGACACTGGAAGGTTGCTATGAGGTCTCCACGCAGCTTTCTCTTCTTCAGATTTAAAGATAACAAGTAACTCAGGGTTTATTTATGAGGTTTTTTTCAATGAAATCCTATAAAACTAACTGTAACACAGGGCAGGACTTCTCTGGTACCCCCACTGTAGTGTAGCTGAGGGGGGTTGAGGGTTGAAGGTCAGCTCTAGGATCAGCTCTAGGAGAGCTCAGAGACCTCATATGAGCCCCATTCCAGGGGACTCAGTATGGGTGACAGCTTCTCTCTGGCTCTGTCAGATCACCTCAGATAAGCATTCCCAGGCTTCAGCTATGTTCAGAAGCTAGCAGCCTGCAGGAGCAAAATGAAACATTGCAACAGCTTATCTAGAATATGTTATTTTATAAAGCAGCCATTGCCACTGTACCCGTAGATATATATAGTTACTTTCTTGAGCTACATTAATATACAGTGTGGACTGTAAAAATAGACTGAGTTTGAAAAGGGTACAGATCTTCTATTTTAAAGCTGACTATTATGATTTTTATGTTCTTTGAAAGCATCTGTCACTTAAACAAGTCTTAGAAGGAGTTTTTCATTTTGTTGTCCTTCTTTTATTGAGCACGTTCTTTGATACCGAAGCTGTTGACAGAGCAATTTCCATAGGAGATATGTAAACACACACTCTGTGTAGGCAGGGTCTTCATATTTCACAGAAAACTATGACAGTCCTATTCTTGGGCTGAGATTTTTTCCACTGATGGGGACTGGAGTATTCCGAAGCTGTGTTTAGCAAACAAAGCTAACCTGAAGCCTAAAAATATACATTGCATTTGCACAGGGCCTGTAAGCCTGTCAAGGTAACCCTGTTGTGACATAAAACAAGCCAATACTGAACTAGTGTGTATATCTTGGACCCATAGCAGTTACAAAATCTGTACCAATGAGATGTGGTGCTTATTGGAAGATCAAATTAAAGCAGTCATACCTGTAGTCATTCAGTGACCCGCTTTTTTACTCTATATGATGTCCTGTCACCTCTCATACCTCAGTGTGGGAGTTCCTTGGGTCCAGGACCAGCCTTACAAATACACCTTCCAGAGCATAGCCGTAGTTAATGATAGAGCCCCCGGAATATTATCTACCCACATCATTTATAATTGATATCTATCCTACATAATAGAAATTAGACACTTTTTTCTTGTTTTGACATAGAGATCAGTACATGCTATCACCATTTGTGCCAGCAAACCTAAATTGATTTGGTACAGTAGTATTAGAATAAGACTATAAAGACTGAAATCAGTGGCTGTTCTGCTACTAACTTGGTTAGCTAGAGTGTTTTCCATGACAAAACCCATTCCACAGAATTTCAGATTTTGCTGCTAAGAAAGAAAATCCAAACTTTATAACCCAGGACTTGACTTTACTCGTAAGGACATGATAAATTGAAACTATTAGGACTATAGATGTACATCTATATTTAATCTTTGTAAAATAATTAAACGACAACACTTTAATCTACTCCTTTTAAAAAAAGAAGTGCAATAACTAAAACCTTTTTCTACAGTGCCTGGTAGTGATCTCTTAGCAACTAAACCTCATCGAGCCAGCTTTGATGTTCTTATTCTTATTGAACGATAACAACCCTATTTAAATTTAGCTAGATCCTGGCATAAAGTAATACTAAAAAAGAGTCATGATATTGGAATATAGCCTAAAATAAAATAATAAGCACATTTATATCTGTTAAATTACCAGCTGTCCACTGTTTTAGTAATATGCAATTCAGTCCCAGTGCAATATATTCAGATACAGTCCTGAAATTAAGAAAAGACAGAATTATGTGGAGTAAAAATTGAAGGCCTTAGTTACAGCTGCATAAGAGTGATTGAATTCAGGATAAGCCAATACAGAACTTAGCTCTACTTATCTTTCTATTTTATTGCTTGTGAGACTGGAGACAGGCAAACGCAAACCTTTGTTACTTTTTAATAGGCATTGGCATATTCAGTATGTATTTAAATTTTTAAATGAAATAATATGGGTCTATTTTGAAACTGAAAAAGGGTAGGCTTAGATTAGATATTAGGAAAAAATTCTTCACTGTATGGGTGGTGAGGCACGGGCACAGGGTGCCCAGAGAAGCTGTGACTGTCCCATCCCTGGCAGTGTTCAAGGCCAGGTTGGGTGGGTCTTGGAGCAACCTGGTCTAGTGGAAGGTGTCCATGGCTGTGATAGGGGGTTGGAACTGGATGAGCTTTAAGGTCCCTCTCAACTTAAACCATTCTATGAGTCTATAAGTTTTTCATTATTATTATTACTATAAATCTTCTACCTTTCTCTCATATTTAAGTTTTTAGTTCAGTTTCAAACTTGTGAGGAAATGTTGTGAAAGAGTCTTCATTATGGAACTTTTTAGACTTTAATTGACTCACCTCTCAAAGGTATCATCACAGATAGTATTTTGATAGAGAAAAATATCTGCATAACATAAACTATCCTGAATGCTGCTGAATCACACTCCTCTGGGCATGAACATTTTCTATGCATCAGGACTGAGAAAATACTGCACCCATTAACAGCATAGGATGCTAGAACTGATATAATACATTTTCTGAGACATTTGAAAACTCTCAGAGTACCTCTGTCACTTGGAAAATTTGCCTTACCTTGAGATGTGACCAATATCCAGCTTGTGATTGATTTGCACACAAATCTAACTTTCTATCTATCTATCTATTCTATCTATCCAGTTTGCTTTCCTAGAAACTTAATTTGGAGATTTTCTATTCATAGCAGATACTCCACCATAGGCTTTTCTTCCTGCTGTGTTTGGCTCAGTTCATTCCAGCTGGAATTTGCCAAAGGAAGAAACCAACAGACATAAATAAATGTTTGGTGTCTTTGGCAGAACCTTTGTAGAAGGCCCCCACCATGATTAGAGGTGTATTTCCCAAGGAGCAAACTGATTCAGAACACCCTCCGCCCCAGTATAAATGCATCATCTTCACACCCTTTCTCTGTGAATCTTTGGTCACAGCTTCTCAGGTTGTTGGTGGAAGTTTACCTCTTAGAAAAGGTTGAATACACTGGTGAACACAACTGAGATCCTGCCTTACCAATCAGCTGGTGATGAAGCTACCAGATAAATCTGGGTTGCAGAGTATTTATTCTTAGGGATGATGCATGAACCAGAAATAAGGCAACCTGATTTCAGTCCCGGAGGAAATATAAGCAAATGTGCTGTAGAACAGCTTCCCACTCTGTTATCATGCAAGTGCCTGAAACAATTTGGTCCACAGGGAATGTTACTGGGTGACAACACAGAGTTCCTGGTGGCATGCAGGCTATAATGGGAATGAGAAAATGCTATTTCTAATAATGAGAGAGACAAAGCAAGAAATACTTCTATTTTCCAGTGTTGCCTATCTGAAATTTTCCAAAACAGTCACATTAAGAACTTAAATCTCCGCACAGCCTTCCTTCAGCACAAGAAGGAACTTATAAACTTGAGAGACCATCTGGTTTCTTAAATCCCTGCTTGGATTGCAGTGTTACAACCAATGCACACAAGACGTAGGAAAACCCTGTGGAATGGAAACTCCTCTTATGCTGTAAGAAATGTTTGTGGTGTTCAAGACAACCCATGAGTGTTTGTGTTGAACAGATCTCCCTTGTTTGGAACAGAAGAAACAGCTCAACCTCAGAGCGTGCTGCCTCCTCATCCCTCCTCCACCACCCCTCTTCCCACCACCGTCCTTCAGGCACGGCTGGAACACTGTAAGTGTACCCTGGAGCCTTTCTCTTTCTTTTACATGACTCTTTATATATGACAAAGACTGAAGCATCCTCTCAAACACTGCTTCATGGTGTCACTCAACAAACCTCTCTGATCTGGCTTTGTTGATATGGCTCTGTTAGGAGCATCATTCACATCCCAGACTGTGGCTTGAAGTGAATCTCAAATAGATCAAGGCATCAAATGAAGTAGGGTTTGTTCAGGCAGTTAATTTAATTAACTTAAAATATTCTTATTCTGTTTTGGGAACTTACTTAGCAGAAGGCAATCCTGAACTAAGTGAAACGGCAATGCAATAAACCAAGTAAGGACAGAAAGGCAATTTTCCATCCCACACAGTGATTTCAGGGTGTATGTTATGTATGTGTCCTGGTTTAGGTCACATTTGCTTATCCAGCAGATGAAATGAAGGTCCCAAAATCCTCCAGTGGAATCTATTCCCACCATTTCATTTTGCAGAAAGACAGACATGTCTGAGTTGCTGTATGCAATTTTAACTCACCCACCTATGCATGTACCTGCTCTAGATGATACATACCCATATGCATGTTAACATGCGCAGCATACAGCATACAATGGGTATGTTTGCCCAGTTACTGTCATTGCTAGGGTCTGTTAACTCTGATATATTTTCCATCCCAACATTAAGAATTTTTCTACCTACTCCATAATTTCTTTTTCTTAATTCTACTATTCATTTACCATATACAAATACTGCAATTATTGCTACTGGTATAGAAATAGTCATTAGCAAGATGTCCGACAAGAACTAACCCAAGAAAAAGTACAGTGTAAGATTCTCCATTGCCTTCAGAGAGATAAGGATTGAGCCCAGGCTGCTGTTTCCACCAGACCAAAATCTAGTTGCTTCCATCTTCCTCATCCCCTCCCTGTGCCTTAATGTCCATAGAAAGGAGACCCAGAGACAAGATTTCCTTAGGAATGTGGCATACTCCTTCACTGAGGATGAGGTTGGGACCAGGGCCCTGAGAGTAATGTGAGTATAAGTTCACCCTTCACATCATCCCCCTTATGTGGGGGAGAGAATAAGACTAGTTACTATGAGGATGAGCCATGTGAATACACTATGGACTTTGTGCTTTGGAGTCTCTACTTGGAACTTTTCTGGAGACTGGCTTTTTGCTGGGAAGCTGAAGATCAGTTTTGTTAATCTGGTGTTTCTGGCTCAATGTTAGTCTACATTTCCAAGGGATATCACTTCTGTCACAAGCCATAAGGCAGTTTACTCATGCAATCCTAATTTTTAAATCAAAAGATTAAGCTTTCATTGATTATCAAAGAATTCTGCTCTGGTCTGGAGTGAATGAAAGCCTATGGGCTGATGTCTTCTGGATCGAAGTGCCTATACCCTCGCTGAGCACAGTCTCTATTATTAGAGCAAAGATGCTATTTTTGGAGAGATGCAGATACATGTAAAGTGGAACAGAGAGAGCAGGGTCAGGTCTAAGAATAGGCCAGGATCCCATGCTGGCTCTGAAAGACGTATGGCAGCCTGGCTGCCATGTGCCTCTAGGAGAGGAGGAGGAGGAAGTGTGGGGCAGGACACTGCTGAAGTGCTAATGTTCAAACATGCGTGAAGTTAAACTTGTGACAAACCCTGGGCAAATAAACTCTCCTGGGCCTGTAGCACTTTGTGGCACTTCTCTTGTTGCATTTCTCCAACAGGCTACATATGGCTGCATATTCACCCCTATGTTTTATTTTATGTAGAAACTCCTTGCACCGGATAGGAAAGAGTTGTGTCAGGAGCACCCGATGGTACAAGTTCCCTCTCTGCCCAAATCATATTGCCCTGCAGGGCCACCTGGCCCCCAGGTGAGTGATGCCCTTGTGATTAAACCACATGTTTTCTCACTTGCTCCTAGGTCCTTGCAAAGCTGTAAAACATCTGCAAATGCTTTTTGCCTCTCAAGCTCTATCTTAATTTCATTGTGACATGACTATGCATAAATCATGTAGGCATTATACACTATGTTCTCATCTCTGCCTTGTGTACTCATTGGTTTCAAGTTCACCCTTTGTTTGTTGTGGAGTTTTATAGTGGGTAGCACCCATCAAATATCACAGAGGTGCAATCGCTTCCATCAGAGGCTCTTGTTACTTTTCTCTTTGCTTTAGACTCTGTTGTCCTTCATGTGAGCCTGTAAATGGATGCTCAGAAAGTGCAATGAGCTTGCATATTAGTGGAGTATATCCCTGAGATGGCAAACCCCTACAGGAAACATCAAAGACAAGGAGAGGCTTCAGGAGGGCAGTGGTATGGGATCCAGGAGATGTGGGATCTTCTAGCTTGACCTCCAACATCTCCGCCTCGGACTTGCTGGGTAGCCTTGGGCCATTCTTTCTGACCTCCCATTTCATTCTGTACAGTTTGTATGTTCAGAAATGTTCTGAGTGAGATCAGAAATCTTCCAAGGAAATGGTCTGTCCTTAGGGGTAACGTTTTTGCACACATCTCTGTAGCATGGAGAAGATCACCCACCTGCCCTTCCGTTCCAGTTCATTCTATCCAAGGAAAAATTAATGGAGACGTAATGTCAGTTTCTCCTGGGGCATAGGAGTTCCCAAGCTACATGCTGTGCCTGGTGCACTGGGACAGTGATCTTCCTCAAGGGCCCCAGGTGTAGATTTTGTTGCAATACAGCTAATAGCAGACATGGCACAGGACCTTTGCTGCAGCAAAAGCTGTGAATAGGGCTTGGGCAGCCTGAGAAGTTAACAAGCACCCAAAACGTATTTAAAACATATGGACAATAGGTCACAGTAAAGGTTCAGTTATGTGGAAAAAAGCTTAGCTATAATTATTTAGAAGTCAATACTTCAGAAGGTATTTGTGAACAGTCTAGAAGCTGCAATGTGAAAGCCACAAAGTCTTGTTTTACCAACTTTGACTTTATTGTTCTGCCATTTTGTCTTTGCTGAGATGCAGGACGAGGCAGATTCATTTAGCATGTGGATGATGTGAGAAGTGATGGGAAGTGTTTGTCCTGTCCTGCACTATGGAACAGCCCTGCAACGTGGTTGGCCATGATCCAGAGTTGCAGTATATGTTAAAGAAGCCGTTGTTATTTCAGTCTTCTCTAGACTCTCTTTTTTTTTAATGAAAAACCCTCTTAATGCTCTATCTGACTTAACTGGAAGAACAGAAATATTAATTCTATTGTTCCCCAAGGTCCATTGCTATAAATAATACTGATCTTGCAACCAGATGACCTACCATCCCTCCAAGAACATTTTTCAATGGAGTAGGCTGGCAGATTTTATCACAGCAGCAGACAGTAGGGTGGGTATAACATGGCTTTGGCATTTTTAATTATACATGATGGGACTGTGTCGCTTAATGGGACAGTGTAAGAGCCAGCAGTCCTCTGGGCAATACTTTATGGCCATGGTCACCTGAAAAGAAATGCTACCATTACAAAAAAGAAAAAGTAATCTAAGAAGCAATTCTGAATTCTTTTCTGCTGTAGTTTGCTCGGCTTTCCAAGGTGCTCTAAAACCTCCTACTATTGACTCGGAGCTACATTTTAACACTTTTTCATTAGAAAAAGAACTAGAATTGTAATGGTTTAACTCACAGTGTAATAACCTGAGGTAAAATGGAAGTAATAAGATAAAATTTGGCTCTGACTCTAATAGGGTGCATTCTGATTTATGGTATTGAAAACCTAAACTAACTCCACTGACAAAAATATTTGGAGTAATTTACATTTGAGGGTACACTTTCCTGCTATTCATGTACAATTTGCATTATGTTTTGGACAGCATAAATCAGGATCCAAACCTGGGGTGATTTGTATGGTGAATCTAACACTCCTCTGATACAGGCTCAGAGGAGTTTTTTCCTTGGTCATTCACAAATGCAAGGTGATCTGTGACCTGGAGCACTCTAGAAACAGCACTGTTTTTCTCATTTCTTTTTCTCTAAGATGGGGTTCAAGGTCTGTCTGGATTAAGAAGTCTCCTGAAAGAAGAAAACCGTCCTCATTTGAGGGAGAGAAATATATCCAGAATTCAGAAGTGGTGGCAATACACTATGTCTGTACTACACTGCAGAGCCCATCCCACATGTTTTATGCCACTTCCCTTACCACCCCTTTGGCTGACCTGGTTTGCCAGGTGACACAGTGTCTCTGTGTCCTCATTGTCACTAATTCTTCAGGACTCCAATAACTGTTCATCTTTCCTTTGCCCCAGGCCTTTTTTCCTGCTTTTTGCTTCATTTAGAAGATGCCCCTGCATTTCTCACACCAGTCCAGTTCTCAAGCCTGCCATTCAGCAATGGCAGAGACTTGGCATTTAGATGCCACGTTCAAACATCATACCCAACTTTATTCCCAGGAGACACCTACAGGGTCAGGGGCTGAGGGAAGACAACCACTAGTACCTCCTTACTAATGTAATTTAATAACAGCATTCACTTTTCTCCCTAGGGCCCACAAGGAATTCCTGGTATAATGGGACCAAAAGGGGAGAAAGTAAGTGTCACTTGCTATGGAGTTTGATGTGGTTTTGAGGAAGAAAGGAGGGGGCGGGGGCATGTTCACTTTTTTCCTTTTGTTTGTAAGGGTGGGCCTTACTGATGTGGGAGTTTGGTTTGAGTGTAAGGCTGTGAATTGGTTTGAATCTGTAATTTAAAGCTTCATATTTCAGTGTACATTTTCAGTCTTTACATATTTTTTATGGCTTCTCACCATGCCTACCTCTGTCTAGAGTATGTGTTAAGAAAGCAGCTCAGGTGTACAAGTCAGGGATCGTACTGATCCAAAGGCGTTTGAATGTCCTGTCCTTCTGGGAGGACATGAAAAGCAGAGCTCTCCATGCATGTTAATTGTATGGGTCAGCTCAGATGTGAAAATTGGCCTGTATGTTAAGTTTGGTCATTTGCTCCATGATGATGATTTTAGGGGCCTTATACCTGAAGCTGGACATATAATTATGTGCTTTACTATACAAGGGGATGACTGTAGATTTAGGGCTGAGAACACAGCGAAAACCAAGGAGCTTTCTTAAAGTAATTTTTCTCATTTTGCCTTTGGAAGCGAAGTCCTGAACACAAAGGTATTCCCAAATTATTATTATTTTTCATATAAACGCATTGACGAATGAATCTCTGTGCTTCGTGTGGTGCCTATGGGACTAACATGTTCCTTTCTCTGGCAGGGGGAGATTGGCAGGCCAGGAAGAAAGGTATGAACAAAAGTGCTCTCTCAGAACCCACCTAATACTTGACATGTAACAGCTGTCAGAGAGGGGTGCAGACAATAGTTAGATAAAGATTAGCTAATGTTGAAGTTTAACCTGTATGTGCTGCTTCTCCTGGTACCCAGGGTGGGTGGTAGGGAGCGCTGGGTGAAGGCTGGAGAGCTGGGCCCTCTGGTTTGGAGACCTGTCCCAGCTGGTTTGAATTTGACAAATTCGCTCATTAAAAGCATACATCTCTGGCCAGACAATTAAAACAGAATAGGAAGTTATCTGACCCATGCCTTCTGTGGACAGGGAAAGAGGAGTATGCGAGCTATCACAAAAGGTGCATGAAAAAGAAGTCCAAAACAGCATTAAACTTTTTACTTCTCCAAAGTCCCCAGAAGGGGGATAGCCATCAATGATTACACTTCCAAGGTTCTGGCACCAATACAATATGCTGACTACAGTCCTATGCTTGGTGACACATGAGCCATGATATGCTGTCCGAAATATGTGTCCCTACATGTGATGAAACAGAATATGTTACCTCAGTCACTAAGTACCTCCATTTAATGTAATTAACTTTGAAAGAAGACAGCAATGCAGGATGAAACCAGAGATAAGCAGAGGGTAGTCACTAACCAGGAAAAGAAATACTCTTCTAATAATACACCAAGGATTTTAACACCTTTTAAATAACATACAAAGGATTTTAACACCAATCAGTAGTTCAAATAGATATGAAACACATAAACAGAAGAGGTTTTTTTCTTTAATCTAAATTGCAAATGCCCTACAGTAAACAAAGATATTACTTCTATAAATTCAAGATTTCAAAACAGTAATGTCTCAGAGAGGGTCACCCACCAATCTACAAGAAAGTACAGCCTTAAAAGTAGTACATCAGTACTTACTTTTCTAAAATAAACTAATAGGTCCAGAAAAAGAAGTTGCTCAAGGTGGAAATAAAACAGTTTAACCCTTGCTACAAGCTGTCTGGCTCATGGGAGGTCATTTATGGCCCCGGATGTCATAAGGACATTTCTAAGATCATATTGTCAAGTGGCATAAAGCAGTGGAGTAGCACTAATCTGCAGCATTTCAGGAGACGCTCAAACAGTGATTTACAGACAATAATTAAAATAGATAAATAACTGTATGTATGTAGTTATTGCTAGTCATAAAGTAGCTATAAAGAAGCTGTTATAGTTAGTAATATGAGAATGTTCAAAATAACAGTAAATAAATGTAGAAATATCTCACTCAGCTAAAAACCTGGTTCTGTTCTTAACATAGATATGTACTGATATAACTACATGAAATTCTTTCTGATTTACATCATATTATTAAATGAAAAGAAGATTTAAGTTATTCACACTGGGGTTTTAGGGTAATTATTTTAACTGCGTGTAGATTTACTGTGTAACTGAACTGCTTATTTGAATCAGTATAATTTGGTATTTCTGTAAGCCCACACTTCCTCCAGCAGCATCAATGTAAACTGTACTATGAATATAATATAGTATTTTTTTGTATTAACAACCAGGTAAAGAAGCATTTTCAGGTCTTTTGCTGAAAAGACTTTATTCCTCTATACCTCTTGTCTGCAGCGGAGGTCTGTGTGTAGGAATGTTGTTACATGAATTGCTGTAATTGTTTTCCGTTCAAGGGTAGACCAGGTCCCCCGGGTCTCCCTGGAATGCCAGGACCGATAGGATGGCCTGGACCTGTGGGACCAAAGGTAAGACTAAAATTCACATGGAATAACCTGTTCAACATCATGATCTGAACATGATAGTTGTCATGGGAAGTCATTGGGAAGTCTCTAAGTGATTATCTGCTAGAGGCTGGGAAGCTGCAGCAGTGCAAGGACACTCTGTGCTTGTCCTGTTTCTTACACTGCTCTGCAAAGACCTGCCAGATCTAGAGTTAGCTTTATCCACCTTCTGCCTAGCCCCTGTAGCACTTCTTATGTTGGTTAAAATATGTCAGAGGGAAACCAAAAATCAATCTAATGAAGACTCATTGATAACCACTGGTGTCTCACAGTCACATTGATCAGTGCTTTAAAGCTGATCATTATCTTTATGAGTGTTCTTTATGATGATCTCTTTGCCTGAATGTGTACTTCTTGGCAGTGCAACTATGTGCCCATGCAGTCAGAGGGAAAACACCAGGTTGGTCTCAGCAGAAAGAGATTACAAACCATGTGAATTACTGATCGTGTCTTTGAAGTTAATTCCCATACAAACAGACATTTATTCCTGTGACTTTTAATAACCAACAGCAGAAGAAATGTCAGGACCCGCTTTGCTACTGCGGAGCGGTTGCTTCCCCTGCATTTCTTATGGAAAAGCTTTAGGACAGTCCTTTGCTGAGTATAATATCATGTGAAATCTATACAGCTCTTTACAGAAGCCACAGTATATGGTGTTTCTACTAGGACTTGTGAGATAACCTGCTTTCCTTCAATTCAGTATGCATCAGGCAAAAGGACTGCATACAATGTTTAGTTCAATGCTACGTTTTCCAGTAAATCTTTGACTCTTCATTTGCTCCATGGATGCTTGTGCCACCACCTCAGAGGACTGCAAGAATTACAGTATATGACTTCTGAATTCAAGCCACATCTGGAAAGCAGACCCTCAACCCTAACACATCTTCACTGTGTTAGATGAAAAGTATCATATCATAGAATGTAGACAAGCAACAAGAGTGTTGCTTAAAGGGATACAATGTTCACTTTGAACTGTGAGATAGGAAATGGTGTCCCCCCTGAAAACGCATTGTGTGCTGTGATTTCTGACAGTAGGAGCAGTGAGGGTAGAAGGAAGCTTCAACTACCTCCTTTTCTCACAGTCTTACTACTAAGAGCAGAGTAGTCAGAAAAATCATTCACTTGGCCTTTCCTTATGCAAGCTCTCGTTTTATTTACAAAGTCTTCCTAATTTTGATATTATCTCCTCTTTGCTTGTTGTTATGCTTTTTCATAACACTTCTAGAAGCATCCTTCATATTCAGTAGTAATACTTTTTTCTATACTTTGACTGCAAGTGATACTCGCTGTTTGATTCCAATTCTTCTGCTTTTATTGTCTCCTCTGATACCTGTCTCCTGTGTTTCTTAGAGGAGTTCACATTTTCATTTCTCCTGGTCTTTACAAATTTCAGATTCCTGCTTGTCAGTAAAGGCTCCAGTCAAATAGAGGCCAGCAGATCTCTCTGCTCATTTCCATTGGTTGCGTCTCTCTTTCCTTTCTCTCCTTCTCATCTCTCATCTTCCCAGACTCCTGATACTCATCTTCTCTACAGTCATTTGCTGCATTCTCTTCTTGCTGTAAATATCCAGTAAGATGCTCTCTGTTTTGTTTTGCTTTGTTTTTTTCTCTCATACCCATCTCTGTGCTTTCTGGTTTTTAGCTGTCTCCTTACTTCTCTTTCGTTGACACAATGTTGGTTTAATCCTTACTTCTACTTTGTTTCTTCAAGTCTTTTCTAAACTTCTGCTGGGACAGCAGCCAATGTGAGAATCCTCTTCATTTCTAGGACAGTGAAAGCCAAAGGAGAATGAGAGCCAACTGTATTCTGCTGTAGTGCTGCTGCATGTCTGCAGGGACTACTCTGTATTTCACGCTAGATATAATTAGCTGGCAGCAGCCAGAGAAGTTGTTGCAAAGCCTTTTCATGATTTGCTGGCTCCAAACCACTGTAAAGCACATGATGTCTCAGAGCTGCAATAAAACTACTCACTATGTTTTCCCAAGCCATAAGGACTTGCAGCAAAATACCTTTATTTTCTGCAGTTCAGTGGACGTGATGCTGGGTAGAGATAATGCACCTTCATGCAGAAAAAATGATGCACTGCTGCTTCTAATTTGTTTGCATGTCCTTTAATAGCATCTGGCAAAACTGAAGCAGAAGTTATGCATCCAAGAAAATGCCAATAGAAGGATAAGATAACATATGAGGACTCAGGCAGGATATAATTGAAATATAGACCTCTGACTACAATTCTACACCAAGGTCAGACTTGTCTCACTCATTTGAGATAAAGCCTCAACTGCTAAACTGTCAGACATTCAAATATGACCTCATCAGAGAGCCACAATGAATAACTCTCTTTATTGACCCCTTTAGGGTGAAAAGGGAGAGTTGGGTGTGATGGGATTGCCAGGTACAAGAGGACCAATGGGCTCCAAGGTTTGTTAACCAAACACTGCATTTTCAGACATTGGTTTCTAACGCTCTGCTGACAGCTGCTTCCCTCATGAATTGGCTAGAAAGCATTTATCAAGATGCATCTTTTCTAATACAGCTTAAAAGATGTGCTCTTCAAGCAAGGTTATGTTGTCTGGTTGGGCTTGGCTGTGGTTTTGGCTTTTCATACAAAATGCTTAGGTATAAATTATTTTAATGCAAAAATTTATGTTAAAAGCAAAACTCATATATAATTGTATCCCATTAGAAAACTGGAGTTGTTAAGTTTATCTGAGGCATTAAATCATGTCTGCAACGTTTTCCACCCACCTCAGAAGACTGGAGATCATTTTGGTCCTCTACTAAATCTATGCATGTGTATTGACAGTCAGATAGTAAGCACAGTTTAGTCTGAATGTTCTAGTATCTGCCCATCATGGTCTATAGCATAGCCTTTGCCTTTACAGATTTAAGCCACAACATTTTTAGGTACTTGAAAAAGATTATGCAGTCAGTTTATTCAAATAAAGGACTGGAAAGAAGAATTGAACCCCCTTGTTTATTGTGTGTTTCTGAAAGAAAAACTTGTTTTTATGGCAATCTTCACATTGGAAAATGACTTATATATAATTTAGAGATGTCCCGGGGGGGGGGGAGGGGGGAGGAGGAGGGGGAGGAACCTAAACACAACAACCCAGAAGAAGAAGATTATTGCTAAAAATATTTTAGATTATTAATTGTGTCATCTAAGGCTTTATTCAGCTACATTTTATCTCCCTTGTTTCAATTTTAAAGCAATATCAAACCTGCTGGCTTTACCCGGCTTTTTCATGTTGGCTTTTGGGCTGAGTTGTCTTGCCTTTAATTCGTGTTTCATAGCTCTGTTTCAGTGCAATTTTAGAAGCTATAAATATTCATTTGCATTTACAAGTTGATGCAGTTAATTATTTGTGCTTCACTCTTTTTCTTCACTTCAAAGTTTGAAAGTTCAGCTTGGGTGATGTTGAAAGCCAGAAGCATTAAAGTGTCTATCATTCCCTTTAGGGTTTTCCTGGAAGTAGAGGAGAAAAGGTCAGTGTGACAACAGAATAATGTGTAATTTAACCATGGGAAACAGTTATGCAAAAGAAGTAACTGTAGAAATGAGACTGGGTTTTGATGGGGTGGAGTCCAAAGGTCCCACTGAGAAATGAAAACAAGCATCAATAAGGAGCACAGTCTTGTGGTTTGGGCTGGAATGCTGAAGAAGTGAGTTTTGCACCATGTCTTGTGAACAAATTACTACAGTGCACCTCACTACAGCTTCTCCATCTGTAGAATGGGTATAATAATACTTAGTTGTCCCTCTGGTTTATTTAGGCTACATATATATACTTTGACACACAGACAGTTTTTACTATAAGACCTTAACAGTGGAACCTCAACTTAGATGAAGCCAAGTGGGGAAAAAAATCAAGTTTGGAATTATTATATCCAGGAAAGCACCTATTTAAAGTAATAATATGGGGAGAATGAGTCCTTTTTCCTGAAAGCCTTATTTTTAATTCTGTTGTAATGTCAATGAAAGTAGAAAGGAAACACTTTAGGGTATGGAACCATATGCCTCACTCTGAAGATAATACTGTATTATGTGTGACTCCAAATAACACCTCATGTGGGAGAAATATTTATTACTTCCTCATGAAATGGTAGTAATCAAGCTGTTATTACCCTGTTATCTCCTTCCAGGGATCCAGAGGTGACAGGGGTGACAAAGGAGTCAAAGGAGACCAGGTAATTTTCTTTTCCAAATAGCTGTGAGCTTTAGCTGAATGTGCACATGAGGACTAATGTACTTCTGATGGCAAAAAACAGGAGTGGCTTGGAGGAAGGGAGCCTGGAGGCATCTTCCTTGGAGGGCAAGAGTGGGGAGGGAAGGCAGTGGTCCTGCCTGATGGGAGGGTGGTGGGGTAGCATCCATGTCCATGTGCCCTTCAGTGTCAGCACACAGGGGGGCTCACGAGTCAGGGAGGGAATTCCCTGGGGATAATCTCAGTCTCTCGTGGCATGTGCAGTCCAGAACCACAACAGCTTGCCCAAATGGTTTTAACTGGTGAATGATAATGCTGAGGATAGGAGGGAAACGGAGGGGTGAGATTCGTGGCTTGGGGGTTCTTTGAACTGAGAAAGTAAACTGTTTCTGATGTAAATGGAGAACGCTATTCCAAAACGCAGGAACTGTCCAGGTAGCAGAGTTGCCTGCAGACAAAATATGATCAGAGTGTTCTTGCTGGAGGAAAGGAAGCAGGTGGCAGAGGAATAGTGTTACAGTATAAGGCGATTTACAGGAAAATTGTGCTTATAATTCTCCACCTACTGCACTGCCCACAGTGCTGAATCACAGTGTGGGTTTCTTTAACCAGTGTCTGTACATGGCACTTGTTCTTCTTGCATCCAAGGAAGGTGCTGCTTTGGCAAAGATGACTCCACAATTTTTTATCATTTTTGTCCTTTTATTTTGTAGGGAGAAATAGGCTTCCCTGGAATGCTGGGACAAAAAGTAAGTGGGTGTGATGTGTTGGGGAGCTGTGTTAAGTGCTGGCACAGAGTCAATCAGTGGCTTCAGGGGCATCCTGGAAAGTATAAGACATTGAAAGTCATACCTGACTTCTTAGACTGATGATCAGATTCTTCAGACCTTTTATCTTAGGAGAAACCCCTGAAATGTAGTCATTGGTTGCTTCTCTTTTTTCCTCAGAACACTGGTTTAGTTATAATTTTCCTCCTGTTTAATATGTTCAACCCCTTGTTTACAGGTTCATAACTGCCCTAGCTGTTTGGAAATTATTCATTTGAAGCTAATAAACATTTCCTCCTTGGTACTCTGAATTCAAGTGGCACCACTATAAATATCAGTGATAACCCTGACCAGTTTTTATGTCAACATAAATCTGTACTTGAAAAACAATAAAATTTGGATGTTGGCTCCTGGATAGAAACTCTAAAAGAGGATAATTTTAAGATGTAATCAGGTCTTGTCTCTGAAATTAGGATAAGGAAATAATAGTTGCTTCTAAGGAGGCTAGAAGATGAGTGAATTCACTTCCTTTTCCATGAGTGATTTTGTTATACATCCATCTTAACAGCAGAGCATGATATTGCCAAGGCATCAGAGAGTTTTGCTAGCCTTGGCCTATCCAAGTCTCTGAGCATGTTTCTGATCTTCCCATTCGGCCTCCTCTTTAAAGGATTTTTCAGGGAAATTTTAAGCAATATTTTTTAATTTACACTTGTTTGAAAATATTTAATTGAATTTGGGATTTTTGAGTAAGAAACAGTGCCCGCATTGTCCAGAGGAATCATGTGAATCATGTACTCACATCCTGCTTCCTTCCCTCTGCACCCGCCAAGGGAGAGATGGGCCCGAAGGGACAATCGGGAGTACCAGGACACAGAGGACCTATAGGAAGACCTGGAAAACGAGGCAAACAAGTAAGACCATGGCTTTTCCTTTTCCTGTGACTCGTGGCATATGTGTGGTGTGTACTTGTGTGATACCAGGCACTTCATCACATGAGGAGCAGACAGAAACTCTGAAGCCCCTCATATACACGTACAGACTATACAGGAGTTAAAGCCTCATCTTTAGGGCTGGAACCTTACCTGTAGCGTTCAGCTCTCTGGCCTTGCAACATGGGGAAAATCATTTTCTTCCTGTCTTGGTAATGAACTCATTGAATAGAGCTTGAGCAGACCATGAACACCTCCTTGGAGTCCTAAGCAACACAGAGCTACAGTCTCAGCCCGGCCTGATGGCTAGATAGTTGATACAAGGTTCAGGTCTTAGACAGTGTGGGATATAACATTGTGGTGCCTTACACTTTGTAGATCCTAACCGTGAAGCTGACTTAGGGAGCAGGGCTGCTTGATTTACAGGCTGGCTGCAATGGCAAATGGGATATATCCAAAATTCAACAACCAATGCCATCCTCTATCCCTCACAATAACAGGTTCCTGGGATGAGTGAAAGAAGGTTTGTAGGGGAACACCTGTTTTCTGAGCCTCTGAATGGGGAGAGGGATTGCTGTTGATGCTACAAAAGCTCACCTTAGCTTTGGGCAGAAAAGGCAGCATTAGCATCCTGCAAGGAAGGTCCCATTGCCCGTGCATGAATATTCTCCCTGGCTTACCAGTGTCAGGAGGTACGCTACTGCTAACAAAACCACTGCTCATGTGCACTAGCAGGAGCTGCCTGTACACTAGGAATGGTGTGCTGTAATGGGTTAAACTGGTGTGTGTGGGGGTGGCGGCAATGAAAAACGCTGGTCTATATGTCCAACATGCAGCCTTGTATTGCATTGTAATGCACTCTGGGTTTCTAGCACAGGTACGAAGTGTTTATCCAATGTATATTCAGGCTCTGCCCTTGCTGCCTAGCCTGCCTGGAAGATGCTTTCTGTCCACACTATCCAATTTGGTTGATTCAGGCTTTGTGCAGACCCAAGTGTTGGTCAGCACAGATCAGTTTTCCGAGCCACAAGGTCTTGGAGGTGTTTGGCATGCAGTGCAAAGAACCAAAGCACTAAAACACCCTCTCTGTTTCTCCCATTTCCTCTAAATCAAGATTGATGTGTTAGACTAGATATTTATATGGCAGTTCTCACCGTAGTACTGCATGCCAGGGACAGATTCTTCTGCTCTGAGAAAGGTCAGGAAGACACACAGTGACTTTAAGGAATGGTAATCTTGTACGGAACCTGTTGAGGAATGGGGTAGCTGACAAACAGTCCTTATTTAGAGTTCAAAATAATTATACTGGTAGAACTATTTTTTTCAGACTTTCAGAGGAATTGTGAAGACCAGGAGTTGTGTGTAAATTTGGTATTGACTCGTCAACCATAGCATTTTCCAAGGAAGAGGTAGCAACATCAGTACAGTTACCTGTTCAAGTCACCAAATGGGCCTCTTTGAGTACACCTTTCCTTTTGTATTCATTTTAAACAATGGTACCGGGGGTAGAAGGACACCAGTTCCTGGTGCTCTGAATCACTGCCTCAGAGCCTGTTTCTTTCTGCTGACCAACAGGGAAGGGAACCTGTTCCCACTGCACTGACTCGGGGTTAACGTACATCTCTATCTGCTCAGACACAGGAGCTCGTAGATGAGGTGATTAACAGGCTTAGCTGAATATATTTTATTTGCAGTGTGGTTATGCCCAGCACTGCAAACAAAAGCACATCTGCTGCTGAGGCTTTGATGCTGTCAGCTAATATCTGAAGTGAAAGAATAGCCAGTGTGGGGAAAAACTAAAAGTTGGGTGTTAGGAAAGGAAAACAGGTCACCAAGTAGGGAAAGTCTGCGCAAAGTACGTCTGCTTTGTGACCCACAAGAAATGGGGGTTTTGTCCTTGGTTTGTCAGGTTTTAAAAGCTGATGTGTGCTCTCTCCTCCTTTGGTTTTGCTTGCTGTTTTTATAAACTGTGCTCATCTGTCCTGCCAGGGTAATATGTGCACAATGTCTTTCTATAGCACAAGGCAAAGGGAAGACACAGCACCTGTAGATCAACCTGAACACAGCATGTTCCTTACTTGACCTTTAACATTTTGTCACATTCCAACATGTCTTAATCAAAAAGTGGTGGCATAAGGCATGCCATAATTTAAGGCAACGATCAGTGTGACTGAAAGAACAGTAGTCTGGCCCTAAATTAGGATTTCTAGGCCCAAGGCTCAATACACAAACCTTTCTTATGCCCCAAAAGCAGTTTTAGCATTGATTTTCTGCATGAAAACCTTTACTTTTTGTAAACCTTTGAAAAAACTTGACAGTGGCATTTTAAGGCTCTGTGGGCCTGGGTGCTGCCTTTAAGTGCTGTAGTTGTCTGGCTGTTTGTTCAGCTGAGAAGATAGTTTCCATCAACATGGGGCCATTTCCTGTCTCTTGATCCCGCTGACACCCCTAGATAAAAGCAGCTAAATTAGGAAGGTGTCACTTCCACTTCCATTTCAAGATACGTCTTGATTATCTCACTGACTTCTTCAGCTCTCCCTTGCCTCTGGGCAGGCTCTTCCTAAAAGGTGACCAGGAGGTGGGAGTCACAAGTCACAGCCTCACTGCCCTCTGAGCTACAACACTCAAAACTTGGGACTTGATCCTAAGCAGCAAGTTTCGGGTTTCAGTCTTGATAAGGAGGAATGACTCAGGGCTTTAGACAACGTTACATTGAAAGAAAGGGAGGGAATATAAATATTGTCCCTGGGGAAAGCTTCTCTGATGCCATGTGTACATTTGAACAGAAGCAAGCAAACATGTTTAATATAAACCTCCGCCATTATTTAATCCATCTGTGCTAAGCAAGAGAGCATTAAGCAATGCTCCTCCAAAGCAGGAGACATAGAAGACAGCTCATTTTCAGGCAGTATATGTCCAACTGGCACTGACTTATCTCTGCCAGATCACTGTTCTGTGGGGGAAAGAGGTTTCCCACAGACTTCTCTGGGGCTACAAAATCCTGGTCTGCTCATTCTGTGTTGCATAATGTAAGAAGTAATTAGGGATCAGCATCATTGACATCCACATAAATCCTGGAAGAGTTTGATGGCACAGAGCTTACCTAATAGGATTAAACAAGGCAAATATTCGATTAAGTTCTTTATGGGCCATGTCAAAATGAACCTTCCTCAACATTCAAATGTATCCATGGGATATGACATGTTATATAACAACAGATTATTTTAGCATCCTTAACCCCATATGCTTTATTACCCTGAAACCAGACATGTAACCACTCATCATAAGCCCTTGAATTTACATTAACCTAGAATTTTACCATCTTTGAGGAACTCATCTCCCTTCTTATTAAAAGAAAACTTACGCAACATACATTATTTTTGTTATGCTAAATAATGTATGCTGTCATGTAAAATCAAATCAGATATTTACACTTTAAGCTATGTAATATGCTTCCGAAATATAAAGCTGAGAAACCCAAGCCTTGGAGAGCGCATGAGCAGGAAGATATATATAGGTATTTTTAATAAGTGTTACCATATTAAATTCAGGAGCATAAATATGAAGGTGCTGAATAGTTCTAAGGTGAAAACTTCAAATGCCTAAGGCCATAGCTGCAGAAACAGGATCCCATGAGGCAAACTACGGCTGATTTTGCAGAATATTAGCTATTGTATGGTAACTGTGTGTAAGCTCATCTCCCATAGATAATGTTACAGCACTTTGACTGAGAGGTAGGGTACTGGAGAAACACTGTTTGTCAGTATGTGGTTGCCACACACCAGCTTGCACTTCTTAAAGCCAAGCCCTTGCCTTGTGATTTGTTAACGTAGCTATACCTGTGGCGAAAGTCAAGGAGATACAGGAGTCCAGGCAGCTAAGGTACTTCTGGAAACAGTGTGGGCATCAAAGTCATTGGTGTCCTTCTGAAAGATGGCACCCTCATACTGGGAAATGTCACGTGGAAGCCCTTGCCAACTGCTTAGTGAATTGTCTCTTTTTTCAGTGTGTATTACTCCAGTAACTAAGGATTTCCAGGATCAGCTATTTCAGCTCCATCAGCCCTTTCTGTCTGAGCTGCACTGACAGCTACCAGGGGTAAAAGGTATCCTTGAAGAAAGGCTATCAAATAACTGAAGTCAGGGTGATTCCTTACTCCACACAGAGCACAACTCTGGGACCATTCACATTTAGGAGCAGAAGCCCTGCCTGGACACACTTTTCTGTCTCCAGGTAGAAGAGGACAGAACCTTTTCTTTGGGGTGGTGGCTATGAAGCTTGTGCTGCGTGCTTCTACTGGCAAATGCCTTGGCTTTCTTGAAAGGGAAGCTAGTGTGGCTGGAAAAGGTTGTGTGTTATGAGTAGTTCATCAAATAAATGGATGTCTCCTCTCTCCTAGGGGCTGAAGGGAGACACCGGACCTGCGGGTGTCATGGGTCCGCCTGGAAGGCCTGGTCCTTCTGGCCAGCCAGGCCCCCCTGGACCTTCAGGATCAGGTAAGCAGTGTCCCTTCCTCCCTAACCCCTCCTAACTCAGCATATATGCCTACATAGGCCCCTTTACAAAAAGTGTTGCAGGAATATGTTTGATTCTCCGCTGACAGCAAGCAGAGGATTTCTCCTGAAGGCAGGTCATGCCATCCTTGTCCATTGTATGGATTCGATACCTTGCTTTAAAGCCTACATTTTGGCTTCTGATGTTTCAAAGAAAAACAAAAATATGGCTTAAGTGGTTCCTGTGGGACTTTGGTAGATGAGGATGATGCAAAGCCATCTGGCAGCCTAGGAGGGACTAGTTAATCTCCACCATCAAAGGTCTGCAGCTTCTCCAAATACCCTGGCTTACAGTGAAAGACTGGTTTCTGATCAACATACCCTGTGCAGCTCTGTAAAAGAAAACCAGATAAAACTCAAGTCACGATGGCATTAGGGAAAGAAGGGAAGAGGAGGGACAGGAGTCAGTGGGGGAAAAAGGCAGTGGGGAAAAGCTTTAATTAAGTGCTGGAGATGTGTGCTTGCTGCAATTGTGCCTGTGCTACAGATCATGAGAAAAATCTTGTAACTGGTAGTTGTACAGCTTCAAAGCTATGCATGCACATGAACTGGGCATCTTGTAGGACCAAGTGTAGACATGAAGGACAATACACAGCCCACAGTGTTCAGTGACTGGATACATACTAAGGTATCTGAAAACAAAAGCAAAGCCATCTGGAAACTACTGTTGTTTCAAATGGACATCTGCTTCTACTGCAGCTGATCTGTTCAGTGTCCTCTTCCATTTTGCTTTCCCTTATTCTTCCCTTGTTTACATCTGTGAGCATAAGGTCTTTTCTAGCGGTGATGTGGAAATGCTACATCTGTGAAGCTGGGGTTTGCTTCAGAATCTTCACATACCTCATGTCTCCCCTAATGAAACATCTTTGTCTTGAGTAAATTAGCTGGAAGTTGTTTTCAGAGGAGAGAATTTTCACTGTGCCAATGGGAAGGCAGCCATGATCTTGAGACTGAAATAATTCCGTCTATGGAAAGTTTATGTGGTGTCAGGCTTGTTAATCTTTTTCCTCTAGAATACAAATCCTCATCCTAAAAGACCTTGCTGTAATGATGTCACTGCTTGCAGTATGAGTGTGGTGGCTCACAGTCTAATTCTGCAGGTAGCGCATCCTTGCCAAAGTTTGAAGTAAAAAAGCAGTATTTTTTACATTTTAATTTGCAGCTCTCCTGTATTTCTAGTTGTGTTTTCTATCTCTGAAACAGCACTGTTCAAGTGGTTATATAAATGCACAAGTCCTATGCACTGTGGTTCTATACACAGACTGACTCTGCTAAACTTGGTGCACAGGTGTTATAGAGTGATCTGTGTGTTCACCGTGTCCTAAATTTCTATAGCTTGAAACAGGCTGATATTTGTTCTAAGCAAATAGTGTCTCTTCCTCTGCAAATGTGGTAGAAAATTTAAAAAGAGAACTGAAATAATGTGACTATGGTACAAACTTGGGTCTTTCTCCTGAAGTGCTGGAATTGGTGGTTCTGCTAATCATAGAATCATAGAATCATAGAATCATAGAATTCATAGACTCAGAATGGTTTGGGCTGTAAGGGACCCTAAAAATCATCCATTTCCAAGCCTATGCCGTGGCCAGGGACACCTTCCATTAGACCAGGTTGCTCCAAGCCCTGTATAACCTGGCCTTGAACACTGCCAGGGATGGGGCAGCCACAGCTTCCCTGAGCAACCTGTGCCAGTGCCTCACCACCCTTACAGGGAAGAACTTCCTCCTAATATCTGACCTAAATCTCTCCTCTTTCAGTTTAAAACCTTCTCACCTTGTCCTGTCACTACATGCCCTTGTAAAAAGTCCCCTTCCAGATTTCTTACAAGGTAATCTCTTCCCTCAGTTCCCAGTGAATTTAGTGGGAGATATGCATATCTGAAAGCTTATATCCACCTGACCTGTACTTTTTCCACTAAGACTGTGTTTGTGTTTTGTGTATTAATTTCTCAACAAGGGCAACCTGGTATTTTGCTTCCTAGGGCAATTCGCAATAGGACCAAAAGGGGAAAGAGGACTTCCAGGACTTCCAGGGAGATGTCTCTGCAGACCCCCACAGCACATGAGTAACCCATCGTATGAGGAATCTGTGTTTGGACACAGTTATCCAAAAGTCCCTGTGGTAAGCAGATTTTCTGGGAGATGGTGTGAGCAGTTCTTAAGTAGTTTTGTTGTGAGAGGTGGTGTACTCACTACTATTTTTGATTTAACATGGAAGATGTCTGTATGTGGGCAATGTGTTATTTCTAGCATCCAAAACCTCTGCAATCCAGTTGGTGCAAAAGAGTTTGGTCTCATAACTAGTCTGAGAGGTTTGTGATTGTGGTGCTGAAATGCAGCTGTTTCAAACCATCAGTAATGCAGCATGTGTTTAGAAACCTTTTTCAAGCCTGAGGATGCTCTCTTTCATCTTCTACTGTACATACATAAACTATTCTCTTTATTTCAGTAAACTGAAATATATTTCAGATTGCTCAGTGAAGTCTCTTTCTTGCTTATTTTTTTGTATCTTCTTCTGCAAAAACAGTGATTTTAGAATTGAATATTGGGATCTTAAAGTACGGGCCATCTACCTTGAAAAAAAAATGTGAGATTTCTGAGCTCCTGTCTGTAGACGTACACTTTGTACAGCTAATTTTAAACTCTAGCATCCTTGAAAGCATTTAAGTAGGGAGATTGGACACAGCAATGTAAAGGAAAAGTCATTGGTGGGAGGTTACTTAGCAATTTTTCATCTCTGATTTCTTTGGACTTTGTAAATACTATTCCTGCACATTTTCCTTCTGCTGGGCCCTGCCATTATTCTGTGCATTGTAACACTCAATCGGCAATGAAAATGCTGCCTTGCTGCTGTGTACCAGCACAGCCCAGCCACCCCACTCATGCATGGATATTGCTGGTGTCTGGTCCCCTCTGAATGACAAAAAGCAGCAATTAGCTGTGTTAACTTTCCCATCTGTCACGTTGTCAGAAAGCTGTTACAGTGTGTGAAAAGGACCTACTCGCAACACTTCCCATTAAACCGGGTCATTGAACTCAATCTTCTGCTTGAGTGTACTGCAAGGCTTGTCAGCTGCTCGTTCATCCCTTTCTCTGTTGCATTACAAAAAAGCCCCATTGTTCTGAAAATGTAATGGTGAGAGAAGAATGTTCATGAAATAAATGTACATATCGCATCACGCTGCATACTATTGCAGAAAAACCTATCATGCTTCATGGCTGGAGAACTTGTAGGAAAGGGTATAAGGCTTGCAATGTTCTGTGTAGGTCTTCCTTCTCCATCAGGCAGTTTCATATTAGATCTTAAAAGATGGAAATGAGAATGTGACCACCTAATCATATAATACCCTGCTCTATCACTGTGCACCCTCAATTGATGATGATCAAATGCCATTTTGTCCTCAGAAATGTGGGATGACAAAGCAGCAAACCTCAGCTCTCTGGAAGTGGAGCACACACATAGCATCAGTCCCTATACTCCTGCCCCATTTGTTTTACTCCCTGGAGTGTCAAGAGCAGGAAGTTAAACATTGCTGTTATTTATTCTGTTCAGATCCCCATGCAGCAGCTTTGAAGCCTGCCTTGTACCACTTGAAAACTATCATCAGGGTTTCTATAGCTATACATGGAAAAGACCCAGAGATAGCGCTCTGTGTCCCAGTGCCGGTGTCGAGTGGTTTGCCAAAGCAGCATCCTTCTGCAACAAGTCCCCAGTGCACTCACCCGTTTGCCCATCAGCTCCTCCAGTGCCAGTACTGCCAGAGAGGGGAGAGGCCAGGAGACAAAGCAGTTTTCTGTCACTGGCTAAGGTTCATTCTGGTTTTTAAATCTTTTGCAATTTCAAAGGCCAGTGTCTGTAGCAGAGAGCACAGATCTGCTATTGATTTCAAGGGAAATTAGAGCTCTGGGGCTGGGGCTTGAGCTCCTGAGCACAATTACAGGATCAGTTCTTTGTTGGCTTTCTATTTCTTTGCTTTCTTTCATTCAAGCTGAAGGCAATTTTATTCAGTGCGTCTTTAATGAAATTGGCCATTGTTGAGGGCTATGGGAATATTCTGCTATGTAAAAATTTCAGGGTATTTTGCTTTAAAAAGAGCCAGTTCTGTTTCTGCTGGTGGGAATCGGGCTCAGCCCTGAATCCATTTTGATCAGAAGCACTCCATTTGCCTTTGCCTAATTTAAAAATGGTTTAATCTTGCTAAAATTACTTTGGTTAAACTGCTGAAGGGAGAGACTGTTTCCTAATGCCCCTTACAGCCCATTGCAGTCACTGAGACATTTAAAAAAAGGGTAAGAGAGGAGCTCATCCTAATTTCTCCATTTTAAACTTCTTTTTTTTCTATTTAATTGGAGACTTGGCTTTAGACCAAAGTGCATACATATAAAGAAACATGCATTTCAATGCAAATTGAGTCTAAATAAAGTACAAGGTAGTAAAAGTGAAGGTTGCATTGAGTGATGAGTTATTTATTTTGTACACATGAGCATGCCTAAAACATTATAGACGAACCTCCAAAAAGCACATGCACCCATGTGGATTTTGCAGTTGTTCCAGCCTTTAACCATTTGAGCATCTGACAGATTTCCTCAGCAATGACTGTGCATAAGTGTTTGCATGCTCATTACCTGTGGAAGTACAAGCTGTAATAGGGGCCACTGGAGCCATAGCTGGGTGCTCAGGAGAGGCAGCTCTCCTTTGGAAACTTGTGTCTCACTGATCACTAAGGAGGCTCTTATGGTCTGGCAATCAGGGGTGTAAGTTCTCACGCCATTCTGTATCTGGAAACAACAAAACCGTTTTTCTGTGTGATTATTTAACTATGTGCAGGTGCATGGGTCTGTTGGCAAAACTAGATTCTGTGAGAAGCCAAAGTACTTCAAGAGGGTCCCCAATCACCTCTCTTTCTGTGCCCCAGATTTTTGTGGTGAATAATCAAGAAGAATTGGACCGGTTAAACACAGAAAATGCCTTAGCTTTCAGAAGAGATCAGAGATCTTTGTATTTCAAGGATACCTTTGGATGGCTCCCAGTCCAGGTGAAAATATGACTGTGGTCTCAGAAAACTCGTGAGTGTATGTTTCATTTTTAAATACAGAACATAATGTCTGTACTTAAGGTGTCATATGTAGAGCAAGCTCATTTTTGAGCACTGCCACAACTGTACATAGTTCTGTGATTTTTGTTCACAGGAGTCTTAATTACTGAGGCATTAACTCATCAGTGTTGCAGGTTGTGATAACACCTCTGTGAACCAGGCTCCACTGGTGAGCAAAATGGGGACAGTTTGGGGGATTACAATAGTAAAGAATTTTTTTTTTATTTAATACAAAATGAGGCAAAACTCACCAGGGTACAAGGTTATGGAAAACACAGAGCCTGCAAACCAAACCTGTGGATTTTGTTTTTGCTTCATGGTGCTATACTAAGTCTTGCTGAGATCAGGAACAGGATCTTTCTTCTGTCCACTGGATTTTGAATCAGATTCTGTATAAACTCTGTGAGCCACCAAATAGCAGGATATGAAAACCTTGTTGTGGGATCTGCCTCCCACAGCCCTTCACCTCGGCTTGCTAGCCAGGCTGCTCATGGTCCAGTTCAGTAACCGCTGTGTGTTTGTTTGGCCAGCTATCCCCTTTCTATCCCATGGATTACCGCTTCAAGGATGGTGATACTTGTGGAGATGGGATTGTACAGGATGGGGAAGAGTGCGATGATGGCAATACGGTTGTGACTGATGACTGTATAAGTAAGTTACAGCACATCAAGAGCAGCCTCTTTCTAACTGGGAAGGTGCATGAATTGTTTCCATAGGGTACACTGCTGTGTAAGTCACACAAGTATATCAGTTAGGGAAGCTTGCGTGGCTTGTGGATAGAGTGCAAAGGAATTAGGTACAATAGCCATAGTGTGAAAACTGAGGTCCTTTGTGCATGCGGATGTCACACACCAGCACAAGCTAGATCCTGGGTCCAGTAAAACTGCTTTGGATTTTGTTATTCACTTGCATAGGGAAGGTGTCAGCCTTCACTGCCCTCACAGTTCGGTTTATACAACATTTGATTCCTGTCTAGTCGAGCTTCCTTCATTTTGCTGGTTGTGGATAGCAAAGGGCATGTAAGCATGCAAGCAGCTGTGACAACCTTCGTATCTACCTTTCAGTTACTTTTACCGCTTGATTCCTTCCCCGGAGCACAGCTCTGTACCCAGTCTACAGCTGACACACATCTGGTTTGGTACTCTGTTGGTTCTAGCAAAGGGATGCTTCTTCACATTTCAGAACCAGCATCAGCTGGCGCTGAAAGATTTAGTTTTTCTTTGTCATTTATATAGCACTCCGTTCTTTAACCTGACTGCAAATGTGGTACATGCAGCCACGCTCCATATGAGTTTATCTATTCACCTGTCCATCACCATGCTTCCCCTTATAGCTTAGGAATCCCAAACAACTTCTTGATGACAACAGGAAAGAGATTTCAAAGGCAATACAATTGCAACAGGTATAGGAAGACATATAAACAAATGCCCCTCTAAGCTTGCCTGACTGGAGAGTAATCCAGCAAGAGAGCATGAGCTCTCCAGCCTCTGAGCATGGGAAAATGATTCAATTAGAATTTGCAATTAACTCTGGGGAACAAGCATGCAGGAAATGATGTTCATTAGTTCTAGTGCCTGCAACATTGTACATTGCTTGTCTGAAGGCACATTGTGTTACTTTGCACTGTATGCTGGGCAAAACTTCGGGTCAATCGAGGCCTTCTGACAGTGATGTGACCTGGAGAGGTACCACTGAGTTACTTGGAAATGAGCACATTGTCATCCTTCTGCTCTTGTGACTCAATCAAAAGAAAAAAGTTAACCAAATATTAGGTAGATTTAACTGTAAAATAGGCTCGTTTTTCTTGGAAGCATCAATTTCTAATAAGCAGATACTTGGTGAAATTAATTAATAATATCTCTTTGTAAACAACTCACATTACCTCCTACAGATTCCCTATTCCTGAGTGTCCTCTTAGCCTTTATCTTCACAGTTTTCCAAGAAAATATCAAAGGGATTTTAGCTAAATGGATTTGAGTCACACTTAAAAAGCTGAAGATGTCAAAAGCAAAGACCGGTTGCTAGAACAGCAAAACACCCCACAAATTACAACAGCCTACACTTCAGTTACCATGAAAAAATGCCACAAGACCCACTCACACCCCAGTCAGTAGGAGTCAGCAGTAGGAAAACCACCTTTTTGGCAATCATAACATACTCTTTTAATTTTGATAGACAGGCAATAGGTCTGCATAATTCTGTTGGTATGTGGGAACTTGTTTGCAGTAGACACACATAGATACCGTGCAATATTGGGTAAAGGTCTAGGCTGGGATTTTCAAACCACTTAAAGATCTCAGAGTGTTCTTTCGAAGTTATATATGTTAACTCTATTTTATGCCTAATTTATTTCATTTTGACAGTAATTATCTGTGGTAATAGTAATTATTAGAATGCTGTTGTGATTAGTGTTTCTGTAGTAAACAGCTTTAGTAGTTAACCATTCTTTCATATTCTTTATAGGGAAGAATATTCCTCCTCCTAAGACAGTTCTTACAGGGTGCCCTCCCCAAAATGCCTTGTTTTATACTTTGTCCTTAAAAATCTAGTTCCATTTACCTTACCTGCTTCTTGTACATATGAGGTGCCTTGAAAGTATTTCTTTCTGTATTTTTCACCAGGATGCCGCCGTGCTTACTGTGGAGATGGGTACAGACATGAAGGGGTTGAAGACTGTGATGGAAAGGATTTTGGATATTTGACATGTAGAACATATCTCCCTGGGTGTGTATGACCTGCCTTCACTTTGGTTCAGGGGCTTTTGGTCGGTTGGCTTTTCTTTTTTGTCTTTGCCAGCTTTAACACAAAGAAGTGTTACCCACTTCAAGCTTGTTCCACTGGGACCACTGCAGACAGTGGAAGAGAAAGACTGTATCAGATTATTTCTGTATATCATTGACTTTAAGAGCCAAATCTCATCTCTCAGTGATTACCACACACCTCTTACTGTACAAAATGAGTAAAGGTAAATAGACATATATTGGCTCAATATTTGCAAGGTTTCCTCATTTTGTGGCATTATCATTGCATTAATGCTCACCCATAACATGGCAGGAGTAGGAAAGACCATGATATGGAAATTATCACACTGAAGAAAAAAACCCAACAAACCAAATCACAACCTCCAACCGTCCTCCTGTTGCCCTTACCTTTAATGGATATTCATATCTTTGTTTCTGGATCAACCTGTCATCTATGGGCCTTTCCAAAGGCCAGGAAATTCACTGAGCTGCGATGCAAAGCCATAAATCTGCTTAGCAATGGCCTTCATTTAAAACGTCTGCTTATTGTTGATTTGCCTTCTCTGCCTTTGTTTAAGCAGCTTCTTCTGGTGAGCACTTTGCCTCCTACAGCAGTACCCCTATTTAACTGTCAGGTATTGTTACTGGCTAGCAGGGAACATCTAATTTGCAAATGAAATTAAACACAGAGCTCTCATCATTCATGGAAGAATAATGTGCTAATTGGCACGGGTAAGAAACCACAGGATGTCTTTGTAAGTCAGGTGCTGTGCTAATCCTTCCACTGTAATTGTTGGAGCACTCCTGGTGTAAGAGATTACCAACATGGAGTACCAGCAAACCTGGCGATCTGAAACATTTTGTAAGTATCTCATCTTCAGACAGTGTGGATCTGTTCTCTACTGTGAAAGTGATTCCCTTCTAAGAGTCCAAAGTTTGGTGCCAAAAATAGCAAGCTTTTTCTTGAGATTTTTTTACAAATGTCACGTTCCATGGATAACCAAGTCGTGAAGAGCAACTGAGATACTTTAGTTTTGTGCGTGCAGTCTGCAAATTATCTGCTAAACTAAAGAAAAGGCTGTGACTCATGAGTAAAATGGAATAAGTATGTCAGCAGGCACTCCTGTGGGAGTTTAATCCCAAAGCACCCTTTCCCTCAAGAGCTCTGCTACAACTGTTTTTCCCATTTTCTACTCTTTCCAGTCCCCAGATCCATCCTCTTATTTCACATGCCTTCACTTGAGTTTTTATGTTGGTTTTCTGAGAATGTGGGTTATCCCAGGACATAATTTTAAGGACCTGCTTAACGGCTGCTTAATCCACAGTTTGTGGGTAATTTGATGGATGAGTTATTTACTTACACATATGCTAGCAATAAAAGCTCAGGTCTTCAGTAGGTGGAGTCACTGCACTCAATTTTAGTCAGTAGAAAGACTAAAATCACTAGTTTTCCTTATTTGCAAGGACCCTTACATTCCCTTTTTTTTTTTTTAACCTTGAAGGTGTGCAAGTGTCAGTGTCATTATTTCAAGTACACAAAAAATAAGTTAAAGGACAGGCACAGTCATGCCAGCTGGAGATATTGGAAGTAACTGGAAAAACACTTAACTCAAAGGCTCAGATATTTCATTACACAGTTCCCATGGGTGAGCGCCAAGGCCTCCTGCACCCACCTCCTGCTCAAGTCCCAGTGCCCACAGGGATTTTATTCCTTAATTGACATTACTGGGAATTAAATCCTCACTCACAGTTTCTCTGGGACTCTTGTTTCACTGACAAGTGGGAGCACAGTGGAGCACTGATGAAATTACCCTCTTACTTTGGTTCCTGTATGTTGAGACTCCATATGGCATTTTCTGGTGTTCATCACTCCTACAGAGAGTATATCCAGAATCCACGTAATGTGAACTATAGCATACTTTGAAACTGAAATATTCTCTTTTATTTTAGGTCTTATGGAAAATTGCGATGCACTTCTTATTGCTACATCGACTCTACACAGTGTCGATACTTCACATGAGGGGAGCAGAGGTGGGTAGCATCCCACATGCAGCAGGGTGCTAGGTGCTACACTGTCATCTACCCAAGAAGGACTGGGACAAAAAAAATACCCACCCACCTCTGTGTGAAAGCAAAGAAAGAGACATCATGCTGCTGACAGCCATTCTGAGATGTTTTTCTTCTGTTTTTAAATTGTCAGATTGGGAAAAAAATAGGACCACTGCATCCTGTCTTAATAGAGAAATGTCAAACGCTGTTTGCCAGTAAGAGCTTTGTGCGGCCGTGGGTGGCAACTCACGCTCCATCACAAATGCCATGTTAAGCTACTGGAAACTGAGTTTCACTAACCAGGAATATCATGTAACAATTACCTCTTTTTAGCACTGCTAAACCTACATGTAAGATCTTCAGGGTTTCTGCCTTTGAACCTCCTCAGCATAAACATGAAGCTTATCTTGGATGCACTGTTTATAGAGACTTTCTTTTATTACAATGTGAACTTTGCAAGTGTTGTATCCACGAGTGATGGCTTCAGTGACATTAAGGGTAACTGTACACCTTCATGGGTTGAAGAAGCAGATGCCCTTCAGTAAATGCTTTCAGGATCAGCAAATCAGTCAAAAAAACTAGTTATCTTCACCTTTAAGCTAAGATGTTTGGCTGTGTGCTTCTGCGCAAATGCATAGCAATGCAATCACAGGAGTCCTGAAACTGCAGATCAGAAGGCCAAAAGGACAAATATACTGTGAAATAACCAAGGAGATCTCTCCCACGAGAGAAATCAGACAAGGAGCGGAGATAAAGAAGGAACATGTTTCCGTATTTTTTACCTTTGTGCTAAGCTGGCTGGGATCTGTGTGACCCTGAAGGGGCTGGGACAGCATTGGTCACCTGCCTGAAACTACAGCATGACCATGTACACATTGCCCTCACTCTGGTTTCTGTACTGGAAGGTCTTCTCGTTTTCATCCCCTTGTCCATCCAACCTTCATCACTGAATCCCGGTTATACCCTGTTCTCTCCCATTTGTTGTTTCCGCTGTTGTGTCTGGGGTACCCCCACAATATGTTCTCACTTTTGTACTGCTGTAAATCAGACATTGGAGTAGGGTGTTCATGGATGCTTATACATGCTGTGTAATGAACAGTGTAATGTACATGTATTTTTGTTTTTAAGAAAGTTTGTTCAACTATATTAGCTCTGATAGGAGTCAGGGTAATTATATACTTATTTATTAGTAAGCATTAAAGATCAAATTTCACATGGGAAGCATATCAAATGTTATGTGTGAAAGAGTCTATAACAGAGAAAAATGAAGCAATGGATGTGCAGAATACGGGACTAAAAGCCTCAAATCAAGGTGTTATTTTCATACAAGCCCCTCTTTCCTGCTTCATGATCAATGCTGCACACAACTGTTTGAAATGCAAGAGTTATCTGTACCAGTGACAGCACTGCGACAGCTGCACTCACACTGGTACTGCTGTAAAGGTTAAATAAAGGTGGGTGTTGTGTTATAATGATAATGCATTAAAGCAATCAAGAAACGCACACAGCTTTCACCACCTGTATAGAAGACTTTAACTCCGCATGTCCAAAGTGATACTGGAAACAACAAAAACCACAGTTAGTGTGCTCTTTGTGGCTATCACTTACTTGGGCTATTTATGTTGCTATGAAGCCAAGCCACCAGCATCTGTAGCTCAGTTCAAAACTTTTCATCTGGTTGCTTTTCTTCTTTTTAAATAGAGGTCTTAATAAAAGGTCGGGGAACCACTGGGGCAGGAACTTGCCATAAGCTCTGGAAATCTGGCCGCTAGCGCAACTGCCTTGTAATTTCCCATGCTTGTGCTGTGATGGGTTCCAGCAACGTCACACCATGCAATAGCATGCATCCTGTCAGGAGGCTCCCGAGGACAGCCATGCTTCCTGCAGCACATCCTGCTGGCCAGCCCTCCAGATGAACCTTTGGCAACATCTGCCTGGTGTTACTATCCTGGGCTTGGAGACACTTCATCTGAACCCCTCACCTTCTCCAAGGAGTTCATCTCCGCTCCCCAGAAGGCTGGAGTCTTTGGGAAAATTGATGATTCCAGTGGCCTTTCAGGTTTGAGTCACATCATTTTTAAAAGCTCCTACCTCCAAAGGACATTGGAGTTGCAAAGCGAAGTGTGTGGAAGGTAGGGAATATAAACAGCAGATCTGAGCATGTAGTACAATTGTACTGTGCTGCACATGTTTGAGGAAGGGGCATATTGGTCTGGCCAGAAAACAGTCACAAAGCATGGATTTTAAACGGACTTCGTTAATACAGCACAAACAATTCAGCATCTTAACAGAAAGAAATCAATGTAAGATATAAGGGGAAAAAAAAAGAAGACATGAAACAAGTTTCTCTGCCATTATTGTCTTGCTTCCCTCCGATGATAAAGCATGAGGAAGACATCTGGGAAGTTGTTAAGTATATATGATTTAAAAGGCTGCAAAATAAATCCTTCCTCTTTATCTCTGACATACCTGCTTTACCATTAATTGGGGATTCTTTAGCTGGATGGTGCCTGGAATGTTGTGAATTGTCTTCCCTCCTTCTCTGAGTTTCTTAACATGTGCCAAGACTGATTCAAAACTTAATTGGGGTATTGCAGTTCCTTGGCCTTTTGGAGCAGCAAAAGTTTGTGGGAGAGTTCTCTAGTGATTAGCACACAGCTCTAGAGAAACACAAAACCAGTATGACCCTACACCATGCACTGTATTAAATGCCTACTAAAAATCCAGCTTGCACTTAATATATAATTAAATACATGTAGTTATCTACTGTGTGTATTAGCAGCTCATGTCAATAAATTGTGCTACCTTAGTCCTGCTATCTCCTTACTTTCACCCATTTTGTTTTGGGTTTAGTAACACATTTAGTAACATTTAAAGACAATGACCTAGTTTAAGACAGGGGAGAGAAAAAAGCCTGTGCCTCCTCTCCCATGCCTGCTGCCTCTCCTGGCCTGCCTCTGGACCCAGCTCTGTGCTGTCACACCAGCATGGACAGCCCAGGATTGGGACTGTGCATCCCCATGCCTGGTCTCACCTCTGCCTCAGCCCCACACTGACCCTTGCAACATGCCATGTGCAGAAAGGCTCCACTTCCATTGACTTCTGGTTGTAATCAATGCCACATGGGCTGCTCTAAGGTGGCTTTGGGCTGAGTTTGGATGTTATCTCCTCCTGCTACCTCATAACCTACTGGCTGGTTTGTAACTCCTACCAGCGGCTCAGCTGATGGCTGCAAAACAGAAGGCGGTGTTGGGTGCTAATGGACAATGGGAATGGTGGTGGTGGCACCCAGGGTTTGGTCAGTTCCAGCAGCCAGTACCCAGGTTTTGGGAAGAGGCTCCTGCGTTCCCATAGCAGCCGGCAAGTCCGTTATCCAGAGGCTTTTTGTACAAGAGGGCATCCCAGAGAAGGGCAGTGCTGTCTGTTCCTGGGGAAGTGGAAGTGAATTGACAGCCAGAGGATGAATGAGTCTTTGGGGCGATATATTTTCTGCCTCTCATTTCTAAAAGCTCATGTCTGTGACACTCACCTCTCTGGCTTTCCAAACGCTTACATCATGTCTGTCTTCACTTTGAATCATTCAGAATTGTAGCCAACCCCATCCTTCCCCATAAATCTGGCCACACAGCTCATGGCCCTTCTTCATCCTTATGGTTTCCTTTAACATCACCAAAGTTCATAGCCTTTGTAGTCCCTCCAAAACCCTGCAATGCCCTCACTGCTCTGCAGGCACTGGGTTTAGTTGGCTTCTTTTTCAGCCTCTCATGCCATCCCTTTCCAAACATCTTCTGCATGTCACAGCCCCACAAATCTCACAGCAAAGCCCCTTGGCCACAGTTCTTTCCTTCTTAAAGGTAACATTAGTGCAATTCCCATTCCAGTCTCAGTGATAGGGAGCAGAGGAGAGGGGATTGGTAGTTATCCTTACACTGTGAGTTCCCCAGAACAGGCACTGTCTTTGGGCACCAGCTGTTTATGAGTAATAACAGTAAAAAGTCGCAGGTTATCTGCTTTTGGGGACAATTCAACAGCTTTGGCACTCTGCATCCAATCAGGACATGTATGAAAAAAAGAAGACCAAAATAAACCCTAGAGAAGTGAACCAGTGCTGTGCTGTGATGATAGTCAAGTGTGTCATGCAGGCAAGGCAGTGCCACAAGAAGATCTTTAAAGAGATGTTGGAAAAATAATGTTTTAACTCACAAAGAATGAGGCAACAGACAACTTTGTGATAGACTTTCAAGTTCTTCCTCTGATACCTCAGGAGATGGATACAGCAGAGCAAGTGTCCCTCCCCTGGAAACCATTCTCCCGCATGGAAAACACTGAGTAATGGGCTATTGAGCTCTGCTACAGGCAATGTAAGGTGCTGACAGAAAGACAAACTAAAGCAGGCAGCTAGTGAATGCTCAGAGTAACTGATGCTTATTGATCTGGTGAGGGACTGTGCAACTTGCAGACTGAGTGCTGCCAAACCTTAATCAAAGAGAAAAAAGGAACAAAGCCCAAGCAAATGAGACATTTTGTGTCTTTATTGAACACGGTCAGTGAAAAAAACCCACTGGATCAATGCATTCAGCCCCATGCCCAGCAATGTGCTCTTTGCTGGAGTCCTCTGTGCTGAAGGCTGCTGTGACTCCAGGGCTGCAGAGGCCAGAGCAAATGCTGGGCACATGCTTCCATTGCATCAGTAATTACTGGGGCAGTTAGGAGGATGGTCCTGAACCAGCCCAGCCAAGGAAAGGCTGTGTTTGAAAGAGTAGCCAGGCCAAATTATATTAGAGGAGTGTAATCCTGCTGGAAATCACATTACTGTCTACTTCTCTCCCTCCTCCCCCAGCAAAATCTTGGCACTTAAAAAGCACTGAGTTATAGCCCTGGCCTTTCAGGGATTTTAATTCACTCTAACAGTTTCCTGTGCATCTGATGGAGGGCACAGTTTGGATGCATGATCTTCTCAAAAGAGAGAGAATAGGGTTTAAACAGCTGTATTTTGCTGCTGCCATCCCACCCACTGCTGAACAAGTATCCCTTCCTGCACGGGCTGCTGCTTAGCATCTTCTTTGGGAAAGGAGAACCATGGAGCTGAGCCCATCAAGCTAAGCAGTGCTGCAGAGCACTGCAGGAAGCAAGAGCCTCTCTGGCCGTTGTGCTCAGGGTGGAAAAGATGCCACACGTGCATCTCTTCAGGAAAACCCATGTGAAAGGCTGTCTCCATTGTCCCCCAGGGCTAATGTTACCAGTGGCACCTTCTGCAGGACACAGGGAAGGACAAAGCAATCCCAGAGCTGTTTTGCAGGCATGGCTGGGGGCCTGCCCAGCTGGTGCATGACAACACAAATGCAGAGCCTGATGGAGCAGGGATCTGAGGTAACAGGACGATAAATCAACCAGGAGGAAGAGGAGGTAACATAAACCTTGTCTCACTGCAGCACACTGAGTATATTTAGAAAGTCAGCAACTTAAGACCCTCTCTCAGCCAGTTTAAAGTGTCACCATTTAATAAGTGAACAAACTGATATCAGCATTAAATTCAAGCCTGTGGCAAAATATATGTTTGACCCTTGTACCAGGCATGGGAGGAAGCTTTTGGGGCTCGTCTTGGAGGGGAGACAGAGACCTGCCTGGGTCCACAGCATCCCTGGTGTGGAGTGAGCAGGGGGAATGACAGCCATTCACCATCACTCTCCCAGGAGGAAGAGGCACCCAATGGCATTTCCCACTGAACCACCAGCAAGCACTGACTAAAGTCATGGAAATGCAGGCATGTAAGACTCGTTTTCCTTTGCCCTCTTAACCAGAGCATCTCCAGCTTGGTGAAGCAAGGAGGAAATAGCTTGGGGAGTCCATGTTATTCCCAAACCCGCTAGTGGGGGGCCAGAAACCTTTTAGTGATGAATTTTGTTTGGAAGAGAAGAGCTCCTGTTGCTCCCTATCCTCGTGTCCATCACCCATGAAGCTCAACATGCAGGAGCTGAGGGAGGTTGCACTGAGCCAGTCAGACATTTGGTACTTCCCATGCCTTCCTCTCGGAGGTTATTTGATGGGCAAACATACAGGGCAACCTGGCAACCCTGACACTTTATAGGAATATAATTCCTCTCATACATTTCCATTGGGTTTCTCATCTTACCTACCTAGCACTACTGCTCTGATGATGGGATGCACCAAGCAAGGCAATACTGAGGACTGCTGAGGTTTCAAATTGTTACCAGATTTAAAGGGGAGGATGACTGCTTAGGGGTAAGAAACAGAGAACAGTTGAGGCAACTGAAGTGTCCAGAAGTGTCCTGTTGAAATGTGTGTATTACGGGCCAAAACCGACAGGGAGGCTGGTCAAGAAGTACAATAAAAAGCCAAGTTTTACCTGTAATGCCCCAGTGCATTCAAACAAACCACCATAAACCATCTGGTTACTGCAGTAACGAGTTACTTTCTTGCTGTCTTTTGACCAGAGATTAGTTGTCAAACCCAGCAGTAACCCCAAAGCAGAAGGACGGGTCCAGCAGGGTAAAGCTGGCAATCTCACAGGTCTTGGTAGTCACAGTGAAGGGCAGAGAGGCTTGGTCTGTGCCAGGACATTTTGAACAAGACACCACCTGGTGTGAAATGATGCAGGATTACGGCTGCTAAATAAAGTCAGGGACCTGTACCTGTTGCTGCTTAGGCTTGGCAGGCTCGCTCTGCCTTAAGCTGTATGAGACAGAGCTGTTATGCTGATCTAGACATTAAATACTTGTTCTCCACTCCACACTACCTTGTTATTTGATAAGCAGGAACGTCCTGTAGGCTTGCCTGGGGTAACCACAGCAGGAATGACTGGACTGATGTGACTGGCCCTTGGGGCACATAGACTGACTTAAGAGAGTTTGTTCTGGGCATAAGCAAGGAAGAACCGAGTCCTGAGGACATACAAATAATGAGATTACTCCTCCTACATTCAGCAGCCAAGTATCAGTTACACAGACCGCATGTAAGGGGAAAACCTTACTCTCTTTACACATATTGTCCCTGTATTTTGGAGCCCTGAGGATGGTGGGACTCTAGTTGTGGGATAAAAGACAGGCAAAACCACCCCAGAGGTTGTTCACCATGTCTCAGTGATGGGGTTTCTGCAGCGCCACACAACACTGCACAGCGATGCCTCAGGGGGCTCTGGTTTCTCCCCTTGCCTGCAACACCTCTGCCCATTTTCACAGCTGGGTGGTCTGTTTGGTGAGCACATCTGCACATGAAGGTTCAAGTCTTCTTAATTTCTACTGTATCAATGCACTGCATGGGGATTTGGGAGTGGAAGGAGCTCCCCTCTGCACCCTCACCAGTTACAGCTCAACTGAATGTTGTTGCTGAGACTGAGGGACACACGCTTGACAGCTCTGATTTAAGGAGATAGTTAGATGTGTCTGACGTTTAGTTATGGAATAAGTGTCTGATGTTTATTTAGGGAACAGAACCAAGACAGCTTTCCAGACCCTGTCTTGGTTCACCAAATTTTGAAGCGCACAAGAAAAGTCCTTTAAGGCAAGACCCCCCCAGCAGAGAGCTGACTGCTTCTCAGCTTCTGTTAAAAGAGTAATAACAAATAGTTACCTTTGAGAAGTTACATTTGTGCAGGAACAGCCTATTTTGACATGTTTTTAAGCACCTGTATCAATAGCTGAAAGCAGCGCTCCATTTGCGATGATCTGTGGACAAGAAAATATGAAGTGGACAGATGAATCCTCTCCCTGTACTGGTAACAGCTACATACTCCCAGGCTGTTCACACTGCCTGATGATACAGGCTTCAGAAAATGTAAATTAATACTTAATTAATTTA